AAGGACTACCTTATCTTTACGTCTTGAACGACCCTTAGGATCCGATTTTAAATGCTATTCTACCGACGGTACTTTACAAATAGCTCCTTCTTTTAAAGTATCTCTTTCTATAGGTCGATAAACTGCTCGAACCTTTAAGAGCTCGAGTTAATAAAGATACAAAGTTTCCGGATCTAGGGATTAAAATCAGCGAAGGGAATCTCGAGTGCCGACTATAATTGCCGACTATAAGAGCCGACTACACTTTAAAAATAGGAAGGTTAATAGGTAATAGGCCGTAGAGACTAATCTTACCTTTAGAAGGAGGTAAGGCATACTATTGTTAGGATCTAGACTAGACAGCGATATAGACATCTTAAGACAGACCCGGAATAGCCCGGGAGTACCTAAGATAGGCTAGAACGGGCTACTACGATTTAAGAGGGTTCAGGCTAGACCTTTACCGCCGATACCGAGTTAAGATAGTTTATAGAGAGTTAGAATAGGAGATCTTAGATCGAGATACTCTAAATCAGACCCGAGAGGCTAGAACCTCTAGGTACTCCGAAGATATACTTATAAACAGAGGGAGAAGACGTATTCCTACTCTTCTCCTAAGCGATTCGAGTAGTATATTTCTATTAGATACTTTAGCCTATACATCTTATCCTTTTATATACGAATCGCTTCTTTGTCGTATAACGAAGTATCTCTAACTATAGGTCCAAAGAACACGATACGCTTAGGATCGAGTACCTAGGACTCGGTAGCGACTAGTACCCTAACGGAAGTAGACGTCGTACTTTAGCTAGAAGCCGAAGAGATAGAGGCTACTAAGGCCTAGCAACTCCTTCGAGTAAGCTAGGCTAGAGAGGAACGTACTAAGTTACTTTAGCAACTTAAATAATCCGACGCGATAATCTAATCTCTAACCGGAGTCCTCCTAACTAATAGATACGACCCTGTCCTAGGCTATCCTAGCCTATCTCTAGCCTAATTTATTCCTAAACTACGGAACCCCTATATATTTGAAGGAAAGAATAGACGCGACTAGATCGAATAGCGAGACGACTACGAACAAATCTTCCGAAGGGCCCTAGGTTACTATATAGACGCCTAAACTAAGATTAAACTTAGGGAAGAATAGATAGTAACCGAACAAAGATCCTAGTAGAACCGGTTTATAGACTTACTCCGATCCTAACTAGCCTATAACGCCCTATCTTAGTCCGACTTTAAGGAATATATACTTAATACGATAGGTATACTCTAGGAGAGGCGACAAATTGCCTATAACGCGATTAAATCTATCGAACAGAACCTCTGAACTCTAACGGAGCTCTTAACCGACCTAAAGGAATACTAGAATAAGCTTAGAACGGAGGACGAATAAATAAAGATTATAGAGTTTAAAAGCGCTCTAGACGGAAGGATTAAGCATCGGATTAACATCAATCTTACTACCTTTACTACCGTTACGGCCCTCGAAGAAGTAGCAAATATCTACTAGAGAGCTATCTAGGCCGAAAGGGATTATCGCTAGAAGGATAAACGCGATAACAAACGCGGACGGTCCGATACTACTAGTAAAACCGCTATCTACGCGAAGAGGTCCTAAAGTTACTCTAAAACGAGCTAACCTCCGTCGATAGGACGACTAAGCCGACCTAGAGACACTAGACCTCTACCTAGGTACTACGGATACGGCGAGACGGGCTATAAGCGCCCGGAATGCTCTAATAAGGTAGCTTAGAAGAACAAGGGGTCCCTAAAAGCTAGCCCCGCCCCCTAGTACTCTAGGTAGCGGGACAAGTAATATATATAGAGGAGCAACGACGATCGGCAGAGCCGTACGGCCGTTAGGCTACGAAGCTAGGGCTATATAATTTGATTAGGGTCAAAGTAACCCTAGAAGGACCGATAGGGCGGCGAAATATCTACGCTCTAGTAGACTATAGTACCTAGATAAACTTCCTAGACGGGGTAGTAGCTAAAGAAATAGATTATACCCTAGAACGAGGGGCTTCGGCAAGGTACGAGACCTTGAATAGCTAAGCCCTCGCGGTTTCGGGATATATAAAGGTCCCTTTTAAAGTTTCGGCTAGTAATAGGTCGAAACAGGGCGGAACTGCCTATATCGCTATTAGAAGGATCTATAGGTTCGAGATAATCCTCGGTATACCGTAGCTAGAATAGTAGAACCCCTCGGTAAACTTCCTAACTAAGATACTAGCTTAGAAGAAGAAGACTAGACATAAATAGTCTAAAGTAGCGATAATCGGCCTAGAAAGGATACGCGCTAAGCTCGTAGACCCTAGTACGGTCCTTTACGCAATATCCTTATTACTTATCAATAGGACTAATAAAGACCTAGAAGGGCTCCCCGAGGTATATAGACAGTACGTATCTATATTCTCTAGTTAGGATACCTCTATTCTAGCCGATTATAGGCTATTTAAGCTCGGAATTAAGCTAGAGGAAGGCAAGATACCCCTATAGAGGCCTCTTTACAACCTTTCCGAGACAGAATTAGAGGTTCTCCGAAACTACCTTAAAGAATACTTAGACCGAGGCTAGATTAGGCCCTCTCGCTCCCCTACCGGCGTAGGCATCCTCTTTACGAAGAAGAAGGACGGAGGTCTTAGGCTCTACGTCGATTACCGTAGACTAAATGCCGTAACGGTCAAAAACAGATATCCCCTGCTATTGATCTAAGAATCCCTAGACTAGTTGTCTAGAGCAAAGATCTTTACTAAACTCGATATAAGAGACGCGTACTACCGACTTAGAATTAAGGAGGGTAACAAGTAGAAGACTACATTCCGGACTAGATATAGCTACTTTAAGTATACCGTTATACCCTTTAGGCTTACTAATACCCCGGGTACGTTCTAAGGGTATATAAATAATGTACTTAAGGACCTGATCGATATTATCTATATAGTATACCTCGACGATATCCTTATTTACTCCTAGAATAAAGAGGATTATATCCGAGACGTAGTAACGGTCCTCGAACGGCTATAAAAGGCTAAGCTCTACGCTAAAATGACTAAGTATAACTTCTATAGGGACTAAGTTAGTTTCTTAGGGTACCTAGTCAGCCTAAGAGGGGTCGAGATAGAGCTAGAACGGGTCGCTACGGTCCGGGATTAGCTAGAACTAGAGTCCGTAAGAGACATTCGGATCTTTATTAGGTTTGCTAATTACTACCGACGATTTATATAGTACTTCTCCCGAATCGCAGCCTCCCTAAACCGGTTAACGGAAAGAAAGGGCGATATAGCAAAGGGAGGATAGAAGCAACGGAATAAAGAGTCTATAAAGATTAACCTACCCCTAAAGGCTAAGCAATCGTTCCTTAAGCTAAAGTAGGCTTTCTATTCAGCGCCGATTCTAAAGTATTTCGACCTATTATAGGCTATCCGGGTAGAAACGGACGTATTAGGCTACGCAATCTCGGGCGTTATAATATAGCAATACGAGTTCTAGGGTAAGATACAATAGTTCCCGGTAGCCTTCTTCTCTCGTAAGATAGTCGTAGTAGAAAAGAACTATAATACCTATAATAGGGAACTCCTTGCTATTGTAGAATGTTTTAAAGTATAGAGACATTACTTAGAGGGCGCGCAGTACTAAGTTGAGTTAATAACCGACTACTATAACCTACAATAGTTTATAACGACTAAAACCCTCTCCCGGAGATAGGTAAGATAGGCGGAATAGCTCGCTACTATAGATTTTAGGGTAGTCTATAGGGTAGGGAGCCTTAACGGGGCAGCGGACGGCGTAAGCAGACGTCTAGATTATATAGACCCCGACTATTCCGGCCGCTAGCTAAACTAGGAAGACTCCTCCGTTGTATTAAAAATACTATAGCGGCAGATTAACCCTAAAGAGCCTATTACCGGTTAAGATAGCCCGGTACGGGCTATAATAGCAGTTAGAGAGACAGCTAGCAATACCTCGGATTACCGCTACGACCTATAGGCAGAGATGAACTAGAGCCTAGTTAAGAGAATTCGGGAAGATACTACTATAGACGAAACGGTAGAGAAGGTCTCGAAAGCTAAAGCTCTAGATTCTCTACTAATATAGACTTAAAGATAGACGTACGAGGACGGCCTATAGCGCTAGAACGACCGTATCCTTATCCTAGAAGGACTATTAAGGCTCGAAATACTTAGAGAATACTACGATAACCCGATAGCGGGCTACTTCGGGTTCTAAAGGACAATCGAACTCGTACTAAGGAGATTCTAGTAGCCTAAGGTACGAAGCTACGTAAAAGACTACACTTCGAGCTGTACGACGTATACTAGAGTAAAACCAAGGAGATACAAACTATACGGCCTATTAGCAGCCGAAGACGCCTTAAGTGCCCTATAGGAAGACTTAACTATAGACTTCGTTACGGACCTCCCTCTATCTACCTTTATAGGCTATACCTACGACTATATCTACGTAGTAATAGATAGATACTCTAAGATAGCCTATTATACCCTATATCGGAAGGATATAACTGCCGAAGACTTAGCCGACCTCTTCCTACGAGACGTATTTCGCTTATATAGCATCCCGGTATCGATAGTAACAGATCGAGGGACGCTGTTTACTTCAAAATTCTAGAGTATATTCTGCTACTACCTAGGCGTTTAGAGGGGCTTAAGTACCGCGTTCTATCCGCAGACGGATAGACAGACCGAACGGCAGAATTAAACTATAGAATAGTACCTCTGCGCCTACTACAACTACGAGTAGGATAATTGGGTAAGGCTGCTTAATATTGCGGAGTTTGCCTATAACGATAGCTAATATGCTTCTACCGGTATAACCCCGTTCCAGATCTGTAACGTTAGAGACCCTATACAGGCAAGATAGCCCGATATAGTCTAGAACGGGGGGAATACCCTAAGGGCGGAGGACTTAGCTAACAAAATGATTAGTCTCTAGAAGACCCTACGGGAGAGGCTCGTCAAAGCTAAGTAGAGTTAAGCTAAGTACTATAACGAGGGGCGTAAAGCAAAGAAGTACGTAATCGGGGACAAGGTATACCTATCTACGAAGAACTTGTCTATAGTAAGGGACTCTAAGAAGCTCGACTATAAGTATATCGGACTATTCGAGGTTATACGCGTAGTCAACGACGCAGTATATACCTTAGAACTGCCCGACGATATAAAAATCTACCCGACCTTCTACGTAAGTATACTAGAAGACTATATCGAAGCAGAATATACTAAGAGGGACTAGAATAGCCCGAAATCGTTTAAGATAGACGACCCCGAAGTCTACGAGGTAGACAAGATTAAGGGGTAGAAGGTAGATAGGTAGGGATAATAGGCGTACCTAGTTTTATAGAAAGGGTATAGGGAGGAAGATAACTCCTAGGAGCTAGCGAGCAATATTAGCCCCGTAGCAATAAAGGTATACCAAAACCGTATAAATCGGGAAGTAAAGGGTTAGGAAGTACCCGAGACGATATATATCAAGGCGTTAAAGCGGAAATCCCGTAGGAAGGGGGCGCCTTAGGGCAGAAATATATAGAACCCGTTATATAGTATATATAAGGAAACGTATTAATAATTTACTAGCGAGAAAAAAGCATTGTTGCGAAGAACTATATAAATAGAGGGGGTATTATCTATAAATACCCGAAACACCCTAGAAACGGCCTAGAATAGCCTAGAATAACCTAGTAACCCTAATTCGCCTAAGAGGACTTATTATTATCTCTATTATTATCCTCTCCTATAGGGGAATTATCGCCTTTAGAATTATTAGCCTTCAAACCGGTCCGTTTTATTGCCCGAGAGACCTTTAGTAGCCGCAACTTACGGAGGTCGTAGCGAAGGGGGGTTTTGGCGGGGTATTTGCCCTATAATAGGTTAGAATAGCCCGGAATAAGCTAGATAGAGGGATATATACTAAAACTCGATTTACCCGGTTAATATACTTATACAAACTGCGGATAGTAGTATTTGCCTACTTAAATCGGGACCGAGGGGCTACCTAGTCGGGTTGTATATAGATAGAGGTAACCTTCTTCTTCTTTAGGGTACCCTCTATACTAAGCGCCTCCCTCTCTAGCTCGGCCCGGTACCGGGCGACTATAGGATCTACCTAAGGTCCGGACTTATCTATCTAGAGACCGCTAAGATAGATATAAAGATTGTTAACCCTCTAGAAGG